TTCATCTCGATTTCAATATATATTAAGTTAGGAATGCAGCTATACAGTAATTTAATTTTTTCATAGCAATTTTTTAGTCTTATAGCTGAAAAAAATGAGCCTCTTTACGCAATTATTTGTAAGAATATTGATTGTATTATTATTAGTAGTAATTATTTGCATTTATTCTTTAATTTTGTGATTAAGAAATTTTTGTGGCCATACTTCAAAAAAAAACTCATTTCAATGCAAAAGGGAAAATGGTTTATCTAAAGAAAAAAATAATAATAAATATAACGTAAAAAAAAAGAATTTTAAACAAAAAAAATAATAATTTTTTTAAATTTTCTACAGAGACAAATAAAATGTAAAATATCTTAACCTCTCTTCATTACACTCCAAAGGTGAATAAGAAGAAAGAAATTAATAGTAAAAGAAACTTACCCTGATGAGAGCGATGAGAAGAGTGAGGACCTAAGAAAGGAACCCGGCCTGAGACAGCCCGATGGATCCTTTAAGAGATTACTATCACCCCCGAAAGAGCCCATAGAAGATCTAGATGATGCAAGCAGAAGGGAAGGGAAATCAGCCAACGATTCTGATGTACCACCAAGCAGAACTGAAGATTCAGCTGAAGAAGTGGAAGACGTTTTCGAAATAACAGCTAAGGAATTCTGAAAATAGAAACATTGCTCAGACACAAATACAAATAAACAACAAGTACAGAAGCATCGAGTTAACAAGAGTAAATTAAATCCTTGAAGTTTCAAATTTAAGTAAAAAAGTTAATTCTTTTTTCTTTTTTTTTCTTTTTCTTTTCTTTTTTTTTTTTTTTTTTTTTTTTTTTTTTTTTTTTCGTTTTCTATTTACACTAATCTCACAGAGACAGTCTCGTAAGACATGTTTCCCAGTAGATCAGAAAAGTCAAACATCTTTGGTAGGGGTCTGAAAGCATGACCACTCTGATCAACCTGCGAAAGGACCGAAGGTGGTTCAACTTCGCGCATTATCAAAGTGGGGGAGCTGAGGATCTTCATATCCCAGTGATGGCTTGTCGATACGAATTCGCCTTCCAATGCAGCGAACCGGGTTCGAATCCCAGTCGATACGAATTTGCACCGATCACAGTGCTGACGGGAAATATCCTCAGTGGTAGACGGATCATGGGTAGTCCCTTTGCCGTCAGAATTACCGTAGGAGGTTTTCGGGGTTTTCCTCTCCATGTAACGCAAATACGGATTAGTTCTATCAAAAAGTCCCCCACAAAAGACACTTTCTCCCAATACTTGATCCAGACATGAAACAAATAAAATTTAAATTAATGATTAGATTTTGAGAAACTTACACCCTTACTTGGAGCTTCCCGATTTTAATTAGATAGTTTTTCTCTTTTTATAATTTATTCGTGAACTTTTGTGCACATTGTATTTCTACTTCATATTTACAAAAATTCTGAAATAATATATTAAGGTATACATCATGGAACACGCTGTAACTACTTTATCAAATAGTTATGAAAGCAAAAGTTTCTCACCATTTCTAAAATATCCAGTAAAAAATACCTACACATGAACAAACAATAGATAGAAACCCTTAGAAACTCATTCGTTAGACTTTCCAAAGTAAAGCGTAACTGCTGATATAAGATATTGATACACAAAAAAGATTGTTGACATACTTTATAATGCAAATATCATGGAAATAATATCAATAGTAGGGGAAATAAATCAACAATTTGAAAAAGCTGTGACTTTTGAAAAATTTTAGAAAAACTTATCAATGATGTTATTCTAAATCATTTTTTCTGCATAAATAATTGTCAAGAAATACAGCACATTAAATTTAGATGAGATTTTATAAACGATACAGCAACAGCATTCTGTCAAAACAAAATACCCAAAATAATGAGTTACTAAACCATTGTTCAGTATTTAATAAAATAAAATAATTTCATTACAATGAAGTATGACCAAGTTCATCTTATTTTTAATCAAAAAATTTTTAAAAAAATATTAAGACATGAAAGTTTCAGGTTCATACGCGATTTATAATATGCATTATGAAACGTTATAATGTTGTACGTAAGAAAAGAAATACTTTAAAATTTTCTGTCATTATGCATTATTTGTATTTCGCATTTCTTTCTTTCATTTTTTCATACATTTGATACAAATATAAAATGAATTATAAATCAAAAAGATTATTTGTGTATCTTTCATTATACAAAAATTAATCAAGGAATCATAAATATAATGCGATTTTCCTTAAGCAAACGATTATATAAATAACGCGTTTGAGCAAAATATTATAATTAAAATTCACTATTGCGTAGCAAAATACTTTAATATTTAGATTATAAAAGAAATATTAGATCAGCTTAGCTTTAGATTAGATTATTTGTTCACCAAAAATTCATTTTTAAAACAAGAATTCTATTTATACATAAATTAACTACTCTTTACAATTCAGTTCGTTTATTTACTTGTGGTTTGCTTAGTCTAATGAAAAGAACTTTAGTGTTGAATCAAAGTCCTTTAAATAATTAAATAATTACTACAACCCCGGGTTATTTACAATTTAATTGAATCTCTTTCCGAATAATTACAAAAGTTATAAAGTGTTTGTAAGATTACTAATTTTTTTTTAATTCCTGAAATATCAAACAATATAACAAAAATGTCACTTTTCATTAACCATTCAAGAATATTCTATCGAAAAATAAACAAAATCATCAATTTAATGAATTACTAAACCATTGTTTTGTATCTAAGAAAATAAAATAATTTCATTGCTAAAAAGATTAACCACAAACCAAATTGATTTTATTTCACTTCTATTCAAAAAGAAGAAAAAAATTAAAGCACAGATAAATGATACGGAATGTATAATGTTTAATAAAGGCTTTGAATTTATCCCCGCTTGTTTACACAATTCATTTTTTTTTCTCAATCCGTGTACTATGTCAATATTTCATTCCAATATTCGAAAGGAAAGAAAGATTCGAAGACATGGTACGGAAAGAACAAATATACCGAGTTAGGAGTTTATTCTCTTCGGAATGTTTATCTTTCTTCTCATTTCTTGGAACCTAATTTGGAAAAAGGAATGGCTTAATAACACTTGATGAAATTATTCGTAACCGTGTGAAATGCACACCCCATCTATGAAAGAACGTATCTTCGAAAATTTCATTCAAATAACGAAAGCGAACTATGAAAGCAAACATAAGTCAAATTGATTTGCTGGGTGGAAAAAAATAATATTTGTTCTAATTTTTAAAGCGAATTTTTTGGTAAGGTGGTAAATTTATAATATTTGAATCGCCTGAGGTTTCACAGGTAATGAGAAAAAGGAATTATTTATTGCGGAAATGCTTTTTATTAGCTGCTGTTGAGTCTGCGATACTGACATATAATAAAATCTATATTTATTGCTGCAAATGAGGTATTTTAGAAAATATTTTTGGATTAATTCTCTTAAAATGAAGCAGAAATTTATTTTTAGATGAATTAATAAATAAAATTCATCTCGATTTCAATTAGTTCAAACTAAAAAACATCTATGTAGCAAATAATTTCTAATATATAATTCAAAAGCTTAAAGGAAAAATATTAGGAGATATTTGTAAAGCATTAATATTTGCATGCTTAAAAACTTATTTAGATTATCCGCAAATATAGAAGATAATTTTGCTTCGACAAGACTAAAAATAAAATAATTTATGCTAATTTTTTTTTTTTTTTTTTTTTTTTTTTTTTTTTNTTTTTTTTTTTTTTTTTTTTTTTTTTTTTTTTTTTTTTGGAAACAGTATGTAAAATTTTCTATATGTAATAGAGCTGATTTTCTAGAAATCAATAAAGAGCTAATAGGTTTTCTCAATAAAAGTTTTCCAATACATTACACAGAGAAAAAAAGTATAATCAAAGCAACCGGAATATGATAACATTTACGGTTTTTCTGGCTCTATGGGAACAGCAAAATGCTTTGTAATTTTACCAAAGCGCTTTGGTAATGATTTCGGTGAAAATAACAATAAAATATCGTTTTATAATATGTAATCAAATTTGGTAAATCTGGTAAAATTAGGTAATTTTATCACGATACTTTAGAAAATGGCATGAGCCTTTTATTCGATTAAGCTTACTTTTCAGTTTAGTATTCCTTACTAAATGTGTGGTAATAAGAACTATAATTTTGAAAACCAAGATCTTCCGTTAAACCATTACCATATGAATGAAAAAATTTCCAAATGAGTGGTTTAAATACCATATATTTTAGTTTCTATTACCAGAATTATGGTTTTCTGTACCAGAAATGTCATTATCATTCAGTACGGTAATATTTCCAGAATGTTTTTCCATGTAGACTACAGTTCGAATTCATTTATAGTTCAAACTTCTGCCTTTAAAAAAAAGAAGAAAAAAAAAGATTTTTATTTTATTTTCGCTTGAGAAAAAAAAGTATAATAGTGCTTCGATACTCAAATTTTTAAGTTCAGTAACTGTACATGGTATTGGAAGTTCTTCATAGAGTAAAATTACTTTTAACCTTAGCAACTACTTATCCAATACATGTATTCATTGTATTCTAAACTCTTGTAAGCAGATAGTTCCTATAGTTGCTTTTTTTAAAATATACTCTGCTTCATTTTGTCTTCGAAATCAAGAATAAATAATTCGAAACATAAACAATAGTCTTAAAGTCAACATTTTGAATGATCCAACTCATAGTTTTCTTGCGAAGTCATTAGTCTTTATTTAATAATAATTCTTTTATCAATATTTTAAGTAATCCTATCAGGAAATGAAACTACGGTAAAATAGTTAAAATTTTAAAGAATAATAAAATATGATTCACGATTTTTGGAAACTTAGGGAACATTCTTACTGAATCTGATTTGATCGTTCTGCTTAAAATGCACCAATCAAATTCTCAATTTCTATGTGTATATTTCAGGAGAATTTTCATTTGGAGGAAAAAGTTGAAATGAGAAAAAGAATGTTCGAAAATATTTTGCATTAAAAAAAAATTTACATAATATAGTAATTAAACAAAACCCATATTATTTATATATAAGACAGAATATCTCAAGTCTTCTTTTAAGATTAAAACCGCTTAAACTTTTCTGTCTGTTTTCGAGCAGCAGCCTCAGAATACCTTGAATCAAGCTCCAAAACTTCCCAATCGGGGAACTCACTCAGTAATCAATGCCCTCAATTTTTCTCAATTCTCGAATCACCCAGTTTGAAAAAATTAAACTGTAAAGTTAAGTTTGTGGGCCAGAAGCACATTTATTTAATGAGTTCAGGATATTTAATCCGTAAAATCTAAGAAATATAATTGAAAACAAAGATTTAGATCTATTGGTTGGATAATATTTTGTGAGGATAAATGTGAAGTAGCTATTCGATCCCCATTAAATATGTGGTGGGAAAATGAAAAAAGACTGTAAATTTTCTATAGTACTCTTATGTACAGTGCGCAAAATAAAAAAGGACCACCCAGAATAACTTTTAATCTAATATATTTTATTTTGATCTAACAAATAATCGGATTTGTAAATTTTAGGACTCAATTTTAAGGGATAGAGAGGGTGATCTCAAATATGCTCATTAATTAGTGCAGGCGATATTTTATGTAACGAAATCAGGCACAAAAACGTACTTTCTCTGAATAAACATATCGTTTTCCGATGGATTTGGATTTCTGACCTCCAAGATATGGAGGGTAGCCAGAATCTGGAAAATATGATCCCCATTCTTCGGTCAGGAGCATAGTTTGGACCCTTTAATATTAATTTTATTTTTTGCGTATTTCGCTATATCTCGTGTACTTTTTAAGCGAATTGAAAAACTTTTGTTCACAATTATAAAATTTGTTTATCCAAAGGTAGTTCCATGCAAAATATAACTTTTAGTAAATATTAATTGAACTGTAAAAAACTGGGGTTTTTTTCTTTCACTCACTGCTGTTATTAATTGCTGTTATAACGAACACTTACGATCTCAACATTTATTGTGAGTTAGGAAGAGTTATTCATAACTATTTCGTTAAGTTCTGTCCATCTAAAACCAGAAACCGTCATTCTGATTATGAATTTGGTCCACAATGTCATAAATAAAGGTTAAAATTTTGTGTAAATGATTATATTAATAATCAAATAATTTACGGTATAAAGTACCGGCTCTGTGGCTGCATCATAAGTAAAATCAGTTTTACCATCATATGCAAAATCTATTAAAGTCCATTTTTAGCAGAAAGTATTGTACCGTAATTTTTACACTAATATTTATTTAATTAGAGTGACAGTGATTTTGCGTCAATTCTTTCTGAAAAAATTACGATTTTTTGTTCCATATGTTCCGGTAAAAATGAATTTAATGATAAAAAGTACCGGATACATGAGAGCGGATACTTTTTACCTAATTCGATCACGAATTTTTTAAAGTGCGTGCTAAAATTTAGAATTTTTTATTGATTTTTATAATTTTGAATAAAGTGGAAAAAATTCTCAAAATTGGTAGTCTTGTTTTAAAAAATATATTCAAGGTACTTGTCTGCTCAAAATTTTGGACAATATTTTAAGTAATAATGTGCACTAAGTTGCTTGTTTTCAAAGCTTTCATTTGACTAATATTAAGCTCTCAAACTGTTGCTTTTTTATCATATTGTTATTATAATTATTATTATGGCTCTTAATGGTAGAAAAAAATTTAAATAAGTCAGCTGAATAATTTTTTAGAGGTAAGAAAAATTGTGAAAATATACATATTTTAACTATTTTTATCGTAATATTTTAGCATAGCTGCTATTTTTTAAACTTCTTTCCTTTCTTATTTTGTTTTTATCTACTCAATGTACAAGTTTTTTTCCCTTAAAATCTGAATAAAAATTGTTTATTTTATGATATACTCTCGACTCTTAAAACGAGTGGCAATGATACTGAATTACCCCGCATACAAACATAATTTTCAAATCAAAAATTTTAAAAAATAAAGAACATTTCAAACTAATATTCAAACGAAGTAGCCAGTCTTTGAACTTCAATTTGTATTTAGATAAAGAAATTCTATAAAATACAGCTAAAAGATTTTTTAACAAAAAACAAATCCATTTTTTTTTTTTGTTTAACAGAAAATATAAGAAACTGCTTCCTAAATATGTTACCAAATATGCAAAACACAAATGCTCTGGAAAAAATCTATACAAAAAAATTGATCAAGAAAAGCATTTTTATATTGACTTTTATACTCAGGGAGTACAAATCAATAAAGAACCCCTAACTTTATTTTTATGAAGAAAAATGAAAAGTGTTATCGATCTATTATGTTATTTTGCCAAATTATATATGATATATGTGTTATTATGTAAATTAAAATAATGCGCATTCATATCTGATTTGAATCAATTTCTCTTTTTTTTCCCTCACCTCCATAGCGCTGTCCCCGGCGACGTCATCTCCGGATCCCGCGGCGGCGGACGCGGCTGCTGTGCGGGGCGGCGATAGATCGTCCTCCCTGCCGCTACAACTGTCAGCATCCTCGTCGTCGGTGAGGTGCCTTTGGGAGGAGGAGGGAGATGAGCCGGACTTGTCCCCTCCGGAGGGTGCTAACAGGAGAGAGGAGGGGTCATCCGCCCCCGCAGGGTCTTCGTCGGGGGAGGCAGGATCGTCCCTAGGGGTTTGATCATCTGAAGAAGGAATGCGGTCTTTCTCCTCCCTTTCTTTTCGTAGGCGCTCGGCCTTTCTCCACTTTGCTCGTCTGTTTTGGAACCAGACCTATAAATAAGAAACAAAAAAAATTCTTACTACACAATTTTTATAATTAGCTCTTATGTTTGTGCATTTCTGCTATAAATGTTTACTAAAATATTAAAATTATTAAAATATTTTTAAAATATTTATCAAAATATTTTAATAAAATATTTTATTATGTTTTTATTAAAATATTTATCAAAATATTTTAACCAAACGTATTTACAACAAAAGTACTTTTAAAACCTATAAATGAGTGGAAAATGTGAGAATTAAGCTATCATGTCAGCTTCACAATTTTCATAATTAGTTCTTATATATGTGTATTTTTATAATTAGCTCTTATATATGTGAATATACGTGAATTCTACTTGCTAAATTTTTCAATATTTCTTTTCCTTAAACATCACTTATCTCCCAGATTGAATTTAAAATTTTTTTTAACAATTTGACTGGTTTAATTAGCTTATTTCAGTGCTCTGTTTTTAAATACATCTGTTTTTAAAATTTGACTGTATTGCCAAAAGTAATCAAGTCAAATTTGTATTTGATAAACTACATTTTAAAATTTTACGTAAAGTTTCATGTCATATAAAATCTGCACTTTTAACTAGATTCTTCTTTTCAGTTTTACTTGATATTACACTGACTTGAGATTTTTTTTTTGTCCAAATATTTAACAGTGATAAAGTAAATGACTTGCACATTGTCTACTTTTTGTTAATTATTGACTTCGTCATTTTTGACAGTAAGTCCACGACACGACATATCTTAAATGTGAGGCATGTTTTTAATTTTAAAAAAAAGTCTTCTCTGGGAAATTCTCTTTCACAATTAGAGACAACATTCAGAAGACTGTTATCGTATATGAGAAATATTTGTATCATACAATAGCAAGTTTGTCTAATAAATTTCCTGTTGTAATATTTATAGGCTGATATTTAATATATATAGTGCCAGAACTGAAAAAGAAAATGTTAGAAATGTTCAAATTATCTTTATTCAGTTTTTACTCAAGAGCAAAAAAAATTTATTTACTATCATTTTATTTACTTTTATTTATTAGTATTTTTCAAAACAATTATATTTTCAATGTTAAAATAGATCAACACTGTAAAAAATACCGGAACATGCTTCGGAACAAAAAATCTGAAATATTATAGTTCTTACAGTAATAATTACCATAAATTCGCGAATTACTCTAATTAAACAAAACTATTACAATAAAAAGTACTATATAATATTTTACTGTAAAAATGCATTTTACGGATGATGCACCCAATATGCCGACACTTAATACCGTAATTTGATACGGAATTTTTATAGAGTATAATAAAATATGTTCTAGAAAGAGATCTTAGAAACGTTACTTTAGATTATCTAGTGGTACATAACTGCACAAAATAATTTAGACTATGATTACAAATGTACAATCAGCAATACCAGATTTGTATTTAGGTATTTTAACGCTTAAATATTGTACAAATTTTGAATGAAATATTATTTTAACGTTGGAAATATCTTTACGTTGAAAAATTGTCAAAGTTATCTATATCTTATTTTGTCTATGTATAAAACTTAAAAGAAAATTTAAAAAGGAAAAAAAAAAACAAGCTCGCACAGTTTCGAATAATTTTATCCAATCTTAATAAATGCATAGTTTCATTGCTTGGAAGAGTACTAAAGAATTCAATCTCTCAATCAACCAATCAAATGAAGAAATGACTTTATTTCTCAAAAAAAGTAATGTGTTGTGAATTAAAAATATAACATGAAAAGTTTATTAAACAACAAACAAACAAAAAATTTAAAAAAAATTAAAAGTCTATCCAAATTGATCAGAGAAAAAAACTGTTAAAACTAAATTTTAAGAATTGCTGATAAAAAGGAAGTCCCTGAATTTAAACATTAGGAGACGAAATCAAATAATTAAACTAGAAAATCTAGAATGTTTTTAATATCTGTCAAATCACTACTTAGGCAGCAACAAAAAGAATGAAATCATTAAAATAAATTTTTTGAGGTGAAATCAATTCCCAAAAATCGTCTCTCACCACTGTTTAAACTCAATCAACAAATAAACTACCTTTTCTTCTGTAACAACATCATTGGAGGGATTGAATAATGTCGATGCTGATTTATTAAATTTCGATTTTTTTTTACAGTGACGTCAGCAGTTTTCAAAAATTTTCCCATTGGATAATGATTTTCCAATTAGCCTACAACTTGTATAAATTTTTTGTCCTTAACATTTAACATAAAGATTCTAAAATTTATATCTATTGCGATTATGAAGTAAGCAATATAACAAGTACAATATTTCGAAGACCCATCTTCCATTTTGAAACTAACAATAATAACAGAAATTTTCAAATGAAAATTGCAACTGACTAGATTCAACTAATTAGATTGAATATAACTCAGTAGAAACTGATCAGATTGAATCGTATTTCATTATTCATTTTTCAATCATTTTGAATTTTTAAAGAAAAGGTAAATTTTTAAAAATTTAACGCAACAATCAATTTGAGTGCATATTTGTCTATTTAATTCTCGCATTTTATCACTTATGAATGTTACTTTCTCTAAGCAGTCTAAGATATCTTTACTCATTAGTGCTTAAATCATAATTTTTAATCAGTATTTCGCACATTAACACTAAATATTTTCATTAATCACGAAGAAAAATAATTCCAAAGAAGTGGTTAATTATGCTAGTTTTTTTAATGCTCATAAAATTTGTTTATACTTATTTGAAATAAAATTAAAAAAAAACAAGCTAGATATCTTTATTAAATTTCATTTTTGGCGACCATCAATTTGCTAATTTCTCCTTTTAATTAAACATTTTACAGTTCCCTTAACTAGATTCCTTCTAATCCAAGCAGGTGGCGACAGAGATGGTGGGTGAAATCATAATTTCTCGCCAAAATGATTTCCACTCTTTTAATCCTGAAATCATTCCAACAATTTTTATGATCATTGATTCCTTATGTGACGAATGGTATTGCCAAAATCCCAAGGCTTTACAAGATCGGCGAAGCGGATCTCGGAGATACTCCAGGCAAGACGATGTGTAAAATACAGGGTTGGGGCAAACACACAAACTAATGAAGAGGCCCCTATTCGCAGATGGACCCCCGCGAGATCCACGTTAACCCTGTGCCGTAATCTGCCTGGAGCATCGTTAGTGTCAGGCGACGGGGCCCGGGTCCTTCATCACACTCGCGAGCCGAATGGCCCTTTTGGGAATGGGGACCTGGGCATTCTGCCCCGAAACGAGGTTTTCGTCAGAATTAAGCAACTACCTTCGCTAATCTCCTTCTCCCACTCTCTCCCTCCTTCTTTCCTGCTGGCGCAAGAGGAGTTGAGTTGTTGGTAGACAGCATTGAGTTTTGGAGAAAACCTCTTACGAGTTACCCTTTATTCTCAAGCAGAGCTTTAAACGCTTAATTACACCTAAAAGTTCTGTTAAGATGACCTCAGATATATATTTTTCTTCCAGTTGATTTTATTTTTATTTAGAACGTTTTGATAATTAAAAAAAATGGAAATCTTTACTTCACTTTTCAGTTACAACGTTTAATTAATATGACTAAGAAAAAGAAATTTCTTTTTAGAGATGAAAAATAGAATAAATAATGAATAACTTATTGAAACTTATAAAACGCAAATTTAATGAATTCTATGAAAGATTTTTTTTTTTGTTTTCAGTTTAAACTCTTTGACGAAAAATGGTTATTAAACCTATTTTTCATACTTTTTTTCATTATTTTGTATTAACTTAGGTTAAACTAAATGAAAAATATTATATTTAGCATTTTAACAATTTATGATTATGAAACACAGCATGAAACACTGGTGTCTTTAGCTGTGTTAAAGATAAAATCTTATAATCATTTCTCGCTTCCAAACAATAATTTTCAAATTCAAATTTTCAGTTATTTGGGTTTAAGAGAAACAGTTTTTCCTCATTTGAATTTCTTTAATTTTCAAAATCAATTATTGATAAATTTTTTTAATATGAATGAAAAAACATTTTCAAACTACTTCTTTTGAATCTTATATTCTAATACAAATATAATTCCGATAATTTAATGAGTTTGTAGTAATCATTGGACTATTCTTAATAGTTAAAATTAACAAAATATATTTTTGTTTATAATAGGGTCAGCAATAAATAATAAAACAGACACCAGGTGGCCCATCCACGACAAAAGGATAAAGAATAAAAATGTGTGAATTGTAAGAGTCGAAAGACTAGGCCATCATTTAATAAATAGCAGAACATCAAACAAAAGCTGTTACCACTTTGACTTTAATTAAAGTAAACATAGTTTAAATTTTTTTAAATTCTAAGTTATAATTTTTGTTACAGGGAAAATTTATAAATAATTGAAGTAACATCTATATAAAATAACAGAAGCAAATAATAAAATACAAATAATAAATTCCAAAAGCGTATTTCTTCATTAATATAGTCCAAAATACTTATTAGTCAGAAATATGGAATGCATTTCTGAGTAAAGAAAATATTGAAGCAATGAAATTTACAAGAAATAACAATGTTTGGTCGTAGCTTTCGCCTCGTAAAGTAACTAACGGATTTTTTTATTTTCTCTTGTCAACTTAGTTTTATGGTCCATCAAAAGCTTATGAAGTTAATCATATACATTTAAAATAACCTTATTTAGAGACAACAGAAAATAGTTTCAGTTCACTTTACTTTTGATTTTTATCAACATATCCCTTTTCTCTGCTGTTTGCATCAATTAATGAAGACAAACTAGTTTCAATTTTGGAAACAAGAACCTTTTTCAATAGCGAAACACATAATGACAGAAGAAAACATGAGCCGAACAAGTTGCAACAAGGAAAAAATGGTTTAAGCAAAACTAGAAGGGGAACGAGTCTGAATAAGATAGTCAAGCAAAACAAAAGAGAAACAAGTGTAGGTAGGTACTTTATTTGCGTCACACTAGAGCTGCACAATGGGCTATTGGCGACAGAAACAAGTGTGAGTT